GACGGTTCCCCAAAACGCCCCAGGAGCGTCCCCAGATGGCCCTAACTGGGCCTTGGCTTGGCCCCGACTTTGCCTCCCGATGCTCTTCAAGGTGGCCCCAAGAGGCCTCACAAGACCTCACGAAAGACCCAGAGCGACCCCAAAAACTTCAAACACTGCCACACCATGGCCCCAATCTGGTTCCAATATGCCCCGAACGGAACTCACATAACGGCATATCTGCGAAAGTCTCTACGGTTCCTCCTGTTGTCGTCAACGTTGTCATAACCAACGCCTTCATCACCACCACCTGAACCCTGCAAAGTTTCTGGAGGTGTGGGCTGTGGGATAGGAATGTGTCTTGGCATCTCGAATTCTGGGGCGTGCAAGACGTTCAAGGGCTGTTCTAGAGTAACCAGGAGATGCCAGGCCCCCCCTCTATCCCGAGCCCCTCTATAACAGTTATGGTTAAAGTAAGGGCTTTGGCCTCTTTAGTGCACTAAGACGTGGTGCCCGTGATGGTACTGAAATATCTCTTCCCCGAGAAGCTGCTGCTCTTCCAAAGGTCCATCAGATATTGTCCAGATGTATTTCTGAGTCTCCCCTGACGCCTGACCATCTTCGAGAAGGCTCCCTCAGTGGACCCATGAGTGGTGGAGGGCTTTCTCCGACCAAGCTTTACAATTGACTCCTGGATGGTCTCCGAAGACTCCTTCGCGCCGACGCTACAATAGACCGTCGAACTTCTAAAATAATAGGAGCGTGTGAGTGGTCCAGCTGTTGTTTCTTTTCTCGTAGCCTGTTTGTGTCGTCGCATGCTCCCAGACATCCCTGGACCAAACTACTCTCCTGGAATTGGTTCCATGATAGGCTGGTGGGGATACGGGAAGCGTCTGGAATCGAAATTGCATGTATCGCCCATTTGCCAATCTAGATTTATCGGTGCGAACTCCATGTGCTGTAAGAAACGTCCCTTTGACTTTCTCAACAATCAATGCTATGTTAGACTGGGAATCAGATGTTTCCCATCAAGGCTCGTCTTCTGTTATCGCCATCCTGATTTCTTTGTGTGCTCCCGCAAGACGCATTGTTTCGCGCCAAAGCTACCGTTGCTTTTCCTCCATCTCCTGGTACTGGAATCAAGCGCTGGGTGCTTTCATTGGGCTTACCATTCTCCATTCCATGGATAGCGCCAATCACAACTACTATTGTGTTGTTTACACATAGACGGTCTGTGCAATCTAATAAACTTGATTTGAATATGTGTGCTGGATGTCGGCCACCGTGCCGCGAGATACTGAATGGAGTCGTGTTCGGTGCCTCGAGAGCCGTCAATATTCAGTATGAAACGTTGTACACGCTCTTGATGCCCAACTCCCCGATCTCTTTGGGTGTGTTGCGTGATTTTTGGGAAGCGTCGCATGACTTTCCCTGAATCCAGAAAGTGGCCGCGAGGAAGGTCCACGAGGTTCAAAGACGGCCCAAGAGCTTCCCGAGACGGCTCAAGATGGCCTGAAGACTGCGCAAGAGGCCCCCGAAACGCCAGAAGAGGGCTCCACGATGGCCTCCAAGAGGTCCCTAATAGGCCAACATCATCCCCAATGGCCCCCTCAAGAGATCTTCGAGAGACATCCCAAGAGACCCCAACAAACATCCAAGAGAGCGCAAGGTCCTCTGTCAAGCAAGATCCGCTGGCGGCGCAACTGGCTCCGCTCCTGGCGCGCTCCGCGCCAGGGACGGGTGTCCAGCGTCGGTCCATGAGATTCGCGCGGACCTCCGAAATGTTCTGCCTATGTACTTTGTTCTTCGACTTTGCGGAGCCACACTGCCTGCCTTCCGCAGAGGGATGGAGGAGGGGAGAGGGGAGGACAACTACGTACTGGACCATTGATCCCCCTTGCTTCCCGTCGGCTCGCGGCAGTCTCCAACACGATGGCTCGACGGCCGCGTGCAACCGAGGGCCTGGCGCATTGTGAGTCCCGTGGCGCCCGGACGCAGGCTGCTCCTGCTCCCCCAACCAACCAACACCGAATCGGAACGCCGGATCGGATCGGGACGTGCGTCGGCTCGGGGAGCATCGGTACGGAATCGAAGTCGAATGGGATCGACCGCCACGGCAGCGCCGTGCCAACATCGGGCCGCATCGGGCCGCCGAGGCGTCGGAATCGAATCGGATCGGGCCGGCGAGTGCCCCTCCAGAGCTCGGGTTGCTCCTGATCCTCGCAGCAGCTGCAGGAGGCAGAAGGGTGCCCACCGAAGAATGCAAGGGGTGTTTGACGGAGCCACGCCGTACTCACGGTCTTGCTGACTGTGAGCCTTCGCCTTTTTGATTCTGGACTGTTCGCGGCCTCTCGCCCTCGACTGGACAACTTGGCACAACCAAGCGCTCGTCCCGCCCAGCCGTCGCACCACGATGCGCCGAGACCACGGCAAGTTTGTGTCGTGCCGACTTCGGCATTGGTTCCTGACACCGGGGGGATCCTTCAACCTTGAACGATCTGCTGTTTCCGAAACGCCAGATCGTTCAACATCGACCGATTCTGGGTCGCCAACGGCGCTCAACATTGAACGCCGGCGGCGGGGGTTGCCGCCGGTCGACACGACGCGAACCTACCGAATCCGATTCCAGTGGCATCTGTGCTGTACTGGAGAAGAATATCCTGCCGCAGCAAAGAGGAGCCTCCCACTGGCACCAAAAGACGGCCGGATCGTGTTCAAGCAGCATGCGCTATTGTACACTAGGCCACAACTCTCCTGCCAAATGATGCCCATCCTCCAGATGTGGCGAAAGAAATAATGTACACATGGATGCCCGCGGAAAAAGAGCCCTGCGATAATGCTTTATCGCCAGCCGTGTCGCAACCGACGACGACGTGCAGGCGAAAGCTTCGGCGTGCCCGACTTGCCGTCTGCAGGCGGCAGCTTCGATGCCCTGCGAAAAACAATACCAACATCTCCATATAGGAGTTTGAGACTGTTCAGCTTGCGCGCACAATGAGTCCATGGCTGGAGCAACACGTCTCCAAATCAGATCCTTGGAGCACATCTTGCAGGCTACATGTGGATGCACTGACGTGCACCTCGATTTCAAAAACACCTTCCGAATGCACCTGATGAAATCTAACCTTATTTTCGCGGTCTTTATTGAGCACGGTTTGTGCACCACGTTCAAGCATGTACATGCGCATGCTCCTGCAAACGGATCCATGTGAGTGTATGTACCTGGCCCGACTTTTGCGAAAGCAAGCATTTCAACTCTCGGAGGCAAGAGGTTGTGGTGAATGTCAGTGCTGTTTTGAAGTTCTCAGCTCTGAACAGTGCAGCTTTAATCTGCGGAATGGCCTGTCGCTGCCGCAGGCTACTCACTGTTGAGGCAGCGTCGGCGTGTGAGTCCAACAAGCATATGTAAACAATTGTGAATGGAATGCCTGCTCGCGTAAGGACCTGCGAATACGTACGTACGCGTGCACAGAATTGGCGAATGCATGGATCTAATTCTACAAGGTCAATGTGTATCCGGGTGGGAACAGAAAATGATTCTTCCGATTTTGCATGATGACTAATGTAAGCCACTATACGTGTTTGGCTATTTCTGATGACGCGACACGGTTGTGACATGTTCCTCCGTTCAGCGCAACTGGTGGCTTCAGCCCAGGCGCGCACGGATAATACCCAAAGAAGATAACACACATAATGCACCTAAACTGAATTTCGCGTATCCGCGTGAAAGGACCGTCTCTCGAGAATTGCCAAACTCCTGCTGACTCACCTGGTCAAATTTGAACGGTTTGCGTAGCGGTCGAGCCCAGAAAACTGGCCAGTGATGTGTGTTGTATTTGATTGCGGTTCACTGGCACCTCAACGGGCTTGCATTGCGGCGAATGTATTTACAATGCAAGCCGACACTTTGAATTCTACAATATACGTTCCGCACAACGGGTCCGATATATCTTTCGTGCCAGATTGTATCATGTGCGCCATTGCATCGCATATCGGCGGTAAGGGAAGCTGCAGTACGATGCACTACGCTGTATAGAGCAACGCATTAATTCCACTGCGCTGTGCTGCGCTGCCCTACGCTACGTTGCGCTCGCCCTGCGTTACACTGCGCTGCGCAGATCAATATTGCACGCTGGCACGCTGCGTTGAAATACGCCTGAAACCGTCACGCATAACATTTTCGGAACACCACACGCACCTAGCATCGCTGCAGGCGCAGCAATCAGCGGTTGTTTTGCCCCAGGAGAAAATGGAACATAACAAGGACGACCGCGACGCAACATAGGTACACCCGCATATTCCGTGGCAAACGGCGGCAACATTAATACCAAACTGCGTTCTTGGAACTCGGCTGCGCTCAGGTATCCGTGAGGGTTCTGCTCTTGGCTCGCGCACAGCAGATCTCTGCCCAAACGACATCACCCCCTGCACAGGTCTGGCTCCCGCTCCTTCCCCAGCGGGCAGAACATCCACCCCCATAATCATCACCCCGAGACGCGAAGCCGTCAGTAAACGCACCCACAGAAGGAATCGAATAGGGCAGGGCGGTTTAGCAAACGCCAGTTGTCAGGGTCCGGATGACTTCTCCTTCCTTGGTTCCCCGCCCCCCCCATCGGGGGTTGCCAGAAGGCGTCCCTGGCCAGATGTGCCCCCCGCCCTCTCGCGACCTCCTGGGGCCGAGGAGGACAGGAAAAGAGAAGAAACGCCGCGACGCCTGCTCGCAGCGCGAGACGCGTGCGCGCCCTGAAAGGTATTTCGCGTGAGCGAGGGCGCCTCGCTCCGACATGTGCGCCAGTGTGCGTACACGTACATATGTATATACACATACATACATGTGCAGCCGCCGCGGGCCCGCCAGCTGGGGCTGGCCGCGTCGCGTGACCCGTCCCCCTGAGCGGCTCGCTCCCTCCGCCTCCTCTTTCGGCCGCCTCCTCTGCTTTTCCCGTTCGCTCTGAACCGAGAGGTCGGAGGAGCACACGCTCATACACACACACATAGCCATACACACATCCATGTCCATAGGACGATCGAGGGAGATACACATCTATTGATCAAGACGATCTCGAAGAGAGCTCAACCTTTCATCAGCCATGGCGAAGCCCGAGACCCGCACTAAACCTCAATGAAACACCCCACGGCGTCTTGCCCGGGGTGCCATGGGGGTGCGTGTCTAGGGAAAAAGTGCAATGTGTTCGGAAAATAAACAAGAAGGGATGCACAGCGAACGTTGCAGAGACGACAAGCAGAGAGAATGACATGATCAACGCCAATTCCCCACCGTGCCGTGGGCACTGAGCGGGGTGTCCTCTGGTCCCTTCGAGCTCTTTGTGCCGTCGAGTGTTGGAATGCGCTGTTAAGGGCTCTAAGCCCCCAGCTCACGGATCTCTCAGGCGCTCGGGGGGTGGGGCCATGACGTTTACAAAGGCCTCGGAACTGTGGCTCGAGACATGAACTTCCAACATGCCAAAAGACGGTCCTGGGGGCTCGCCCTGAAACCGTGTCGAGGGCCCCTCGGCCCGTCTTGGGAGTCCTCGGACCAGCTCAAGCGGCTAACATCGTCGAAGTGCCGGAGTATTTAGCATGGCTTTTCAGGACTCTTTTTTCGCTCAAGGCGGCTATTGAGCGATGTCGGAAGCTTCTTGCGCATCCACGACGGCTCAAGAGGTGTCTAAAACCAACCCAAGAAGGCCCCTTCGCACCCAAGAGGGGCCCAAGAGACGCCCAGCAAGGCCCCAGGGGGCCCAGGAGGGGGAACCCGAACTGGCGTTTCGAGCCACCCACCCCAAGACAGCTTCCAATACTCCTAAGACGCTTTCAAGAGGCCTCCAAGATGCCCACACAGGCCCCAGAGAGGCCTCCAAGAGACCCCAAGATATCTCTAGAGGCCTCTTGTCCACGACCCAGGCGCGGTGGCGAGATGGTCCGAATGCCATTCGATACGTCGATACGTATCCAAGAAGCCAAACAAGCTACCATCGACAAACGCCCTGTGAACTGACGGCAACACTTATCTATCAATGTTCAAGATCATGTTTGTGCACAGCTATATGATACCAGAGAAAAACCCAATCAATGGATAGTTGTTTCTAAAGAGATCGACCGGGAACCCGGGAGCCCGGGAACCCACCGAAATCGGCCGGGAACTAATAACCGGGAACCCGGGAACCCGGAACCGGGAACCCGGGAACCCAGCCTGCTACCAAAATCGGAAGGAAACTTTCGCCAAATCTTTCAACTTCCGCTAGGACCCCTTCAGTGCAAGCACTGATTGGGGAATAGATGTGCGACCAGAGAGAGAGAGAGATTATACATTTATTGTTAAGCATGCAGTCCAAGATGGTTGGCCCAGCGGGCAGGACAGCGAAGAGCTGTTCGACACATAGCACAATCCCACGTCGAAGGCGTAGCGCGGGGACAACCACAACGCGAGCGGCACCAGCTTGACAGAGGCCAGCCAGAACCTCTGATCATGCGTTCAGGTATTCCGAAGTCTGGGCGTTCCCCTCAGACGACGAAAGCTGAGAACACACCCAAATATGACGCCTGCACGCACGTGCCATTGGGCGCATGCGCAAAACCGCATTGCGCACGGCATGTCCTAAAACCTAAAGCCTTCAAGGGCCGCCCGCTTCGACTGGAACAGGAAGCTTCATCCAGCTTGGGATGGGCGCGGCCCAGGGCACGCTGCGGCATCACTCACTGGACGACGCAACAGGCCGCCTTCTTCTTCCGCTCCGCCTCGTGGCGAGTGCACATCTGTTACACATGAGCAGCACTGCACCGGGAAGGGGACACGCCCCACCTCCCCCGCTGAAACGACAGAGTCACCCGTCCAAAACCTCTCGGCTCCAGTGATGGCGCTGTGCCCGCCACCGTGCCGCAGACACTGGGCAGAGTGTCCTCAGGGCTCTTCGGTTTTTTGGGTGCTGGGTACTGCAGGTGCTCTCGCAGGGGCCCACGGAGCCTGGCTTCGCGAGTGCTCTCGGGCGCCTGCGGGGCGGCTCGCGTGATGTCTGTAAGGATTGCGTAGTCGGCCTATAGTGTTCGCACTTCAGTCAGATATTCGTACACTCGTGACACTCGTGCACTCGTGACACTCTTCTTTACACTATATTCCTCAACCCTTAACCCATATCTTCATTTCGAGGCAGTTCTGCCGGCGGAGGTGGTGGCGGTGGTGGTACCATCCGAGCCCGTGACAAGGACGCCGGCGGTCGGGACGCCATATTTCTAGCATGGCCGAATATGGTCCCAGATACCGTCCTGGCCAGATGCGGCTCAGCGTGCCCCCAACATACCCCTATGACGCCACCCCAGGCCCCCAGGCTGCCTCCAAGGGGGGGACTTCGAACTGACATGTCGAGCCCATCCCCCCAAGACGGCCTCCGAGACCGCCAGCAGGCCCCAAGAACCCCAAGAGGCCCCCACAAGGCTCCCGAGAAGCCCCCGAGGTACCTCCAATAGGGCCCAGGATGCCCAAAGAGGCCTCCCAAGAGACCCCAAGAGACATCGAAGAGAGGC